AAAGACAGCACAGTCAGGGCACAAGCCTACTGCAGCCTCCAGTGTGTGAAAAGCAACATTAGCTTAAAGATTTTTCACATGAGAACTGCTGGTGATTGACAGGACATACAGTGCAGACATTAAAACCAGAAACGTGTCTGCTCTGGAAGCTCTTCGCTGGTGTCTAGGATTAAGGAGACCGTAACAAACTGCATTATTGGTGCGAACGTGAGCAAGGCTTGGGTTTGTGCTGGAAGCCGTGTTTCTGCAGCACAGTCCAGCTCGCTTCAGCAGCCAGCGAGAAGAGAATTTGTGCGGCGTGCTTGGGGTACGTTCATCAGCCGGGCGCAGTAGGCAGCGTGCTTTTATTTGCGTCCCTCTGAGCTAGGATGCAGATGACGAGGTGCGGCCCAGCAGACTCCAAACAGCCAGGTATAATGCAGGGTTTTTTTCTACTGGATTTAAGTGTGCTGCCGTCAGTGCCGCACTCGAAACAGCTGGCTTTGTTGCAGTGCAAGCTGCTGTCATGTTAGCTAGTGTCAGATGCCAGCCATTTACAGTATGCGCCATCACAGCATGACTTAAGTTGGCAACACAGAGTCAATCACATGCCAGCAGCCTTACTGTAAGGGTGGGGGAGTGTGTGGGAAGAAAGGGGGAGAAGATACTCTTATAAAATCTTCTAATGATTTATTTTTAATATCCATTTTGCAAGCCTTGGGAAGCGCAGTCCATATGCTTTTCCCTCCTGGCTGTAGTTGGCAAAGAAGCTGATGAAATATGGTCCTTCAGACTCCTTCCATTTTGTGAAGAGCCAGAAAATACAGCTATATTTAGCGTGTTTCCAAGGCCAACAGCAGAGTCTGTTGCTGGGTGGTGATTCCCTGCCTGCAGGCTCGCGTGCCACCTGGGACGGGGTGGGAATGCACCTTCCCTGGAGTCAGTACTGCTGCTGAATTAACAGAACCGGCAACGATCTCCTCCACTTACAACAGGATGGCTGCGCTGGTCCCAGCGGGCTCAGCACACCGCTCGCTGGCACAGCTCGGTCTCTGAGCACCGTGCCCCTTCCCAACACGTGCAGCGACCCCCTCCCGGTGCTGGGATGGCACTTTTTGGGGCGATGCTCGGCTTGGACAGTGTCTCAGCAGGTCTCTATGTGGGGCACTGGTCTCTCTGCTGAGCCTTCCATGTGCTGGAGCAGCAGCTAGTCACCGCAGCAAAAACTGCGCCTTTTAGCATAAAGATGCTTATCTGAACCTTAGGGGCCTGACTCCTGTTGTATTGCCTCATGTTGTATTCCTAGGCCACCCAGGTATAAAATGGAGTTGTCCTTATTTGTCCCCAGCCCGGTATCCACTCAGCAGATTTACTACCAGTTCCCTGTTGTTTTCCCTGCTGTGTTGCAGCTGGTACTGAGAAGTGAAGAATGGCAGTTCCTTTGTCCTTCTGGTGGCTTTTGTAGGGCTGAAATTGGTCTTGAAGAGTGTATGTGTTGCTGAGAAGTACTGAGAACTGTGGGCATTGTGATGGAAGTGTAGAAGAAGGGATCACCCCTACCAGTATCGGAGTTCAGAGGATACTAGAGGTGCCCATCACTTTCGAGCGAGACATCTTGAAAGTTGTTTCATAGCTGGCTGTCTAAACTGGGAACATTTTGTGTCACTCTCTCACATCATCAGTTCCTAAAATTCATTGTCTGAGAGATGAAGAACCTACTGCGGTGTTGGAGAGGGCAGCCTGACTCAGCCGTGCCATCTAACCCGTCCTGGTGAAATGCAGCGGTTGATGATGCTCAGGATCAAAACGATGGCGAGGAGGAGCTGGGCTGGAGGTGCGGTTTTGAATCCGAGCTCAGCAGTGATTCATTTAGTCTTCCCGGAGCCCTGGAAGGCTGACAGCCGTGCCGCACTGCACAGCCTTCGCTCTGCAGCAGCATCTGCGCAGCTTTCGGTTCCTTGCAAATACACGTCCTCATTGAAACCAGTAGCACACTGTGTGGCACTGGTTTCTGCTCACAGCTCTGCCTGCAGGATCGAGGCCTCGTGCTGTATGGGGGTTTGGGGTTTTTTGTTGGTAATAAAAGCGTTCTGTTTGTAAAACCCCCTGTTGGAATTAAACAAACTCTGTTTTGAGAAAAAAGTAGAACAAAGCCTCACACCACGCTGGGGTGGCTGGTATCAATGACATGCAAAATTTCAGTTGGAATAGCAAAGTCCTTTCCAAGTTGGAGAAGGCCCTGTGAGTATTATTTACAAAAAATAGTACCTCTTTTTTCATCTTCTCCATTCCTGCAGTGTAGAAACATCGACACAGATTTATTCCAAATTTGGTAGAAATTAGTGTTTTTCCAACCCAAAGCACTCATGCCAAGTTTCAACCAGGAGGAATTTCGAAGGCTGATGTGTAAGCCCTCGAAGGCTGGAGCTTAGAAGAGAGCAGCTGCCTGGCCGTGGACAACCCGCTGCTCCGCGGGGTCTGCTCCTGGGCTGCGGCAACCTCGGCAGCCCTGCAGAAGCGGTGGCGGTGGGACGCTGCAGATACGCTCTGAGCCTGAAAGCCAGACTCTTGTTGGGTCCCAGTTGATGTTTCGGGGCTGGGGAGAGACCTTGGTCCCGTGCAGCTGGAAAGATGCTGTGAGAAGGTTGGACCCAAACCTGCCTAGTGCTGATGAGTCTCCTTCTCCTTCCAGATGAATGCAGTTATTTACCTTGTAGTAGCGCTGGGTGGTCGGAGCACCATCCAGCTGCATGGTACCATTTTACCCTCGTAAGAAAGCGTCTGGTGATGAAGATTCGTGTCCTCAGGGCCTCTGAGCAATTAACTCACTGCTGGAGATCTGGGGCTGTTGGATTGCCAAGAAGCCAAAACAATAGCATTTAAAAGCCTCTTTCTTTTTGAGTTGGGTTGCCGAGAGCCACTGGGCTCTGCTAGGAGCAGGGCAGAGTTTCACTCCTCAAAGGCAGGCTGCTGAAGCTCGGGACTGTTTTTTCCTGTCCTAGCGGGTTTAGCCCATCACTTTTTGCACTTAATTATTTGCCTCTAAATAACAACAGGGAACCAGGAGTTTTGTTTAACTCTCAGATCTCCTTGGAGCGGATAAGAGAGAAGCCTGTTTCTCATGATATTCCATCATACGGTGCCTTTCACGCTGCAGACGGGCTCTGCAGCCCCTTCCCCAGTGAAGCCGTTATCCCCACCAGGAAAGGGGGCAGAGAAAACCACGCAGGAAGCTTGCAGAGCTTCGGCTGCTCTCCTCTCTCGGCACGCGGTGGAGCCTGGCTGGGGGTTCAAAAGCAGCCCCTGCAGTGGGTCACAGTGTCGGCTTTGTGCAGTGGTACCCAGGCTGTCCAGTGATTCCACACCTACGTTTGTACAGGCAGAGACACGTCTTAAAAATCCCCAGGGCGCAGGCAGGGTCCCATCCCAGGGGGTTTCCACCAGTCTGTGCCCTGGGTGCAGTGGTGTGTAATGGGCGGACCTATGGCGATGGGGTGACAGCTCTGCCGCGTGTGCTGCCGCCCGCAGGAGCAGGGCTGTGGCGTCACCCCATGTGCCCCCTTTTCTGTAAGCAAACTGACAGATATCGAGACTGAGAACTCGATGTCCGGCCCTTGGCGAGAGTACCCGGCCAGGCTGGGTAATGGACGGTCCCGCTCCCTCGCTGGCTGCAGGAACAGTCATCAGTGACATGTCACCCAGCAGCGCTGCGGTCCCCACGCCTGCCCTTGTTTTATTAGGCTCTGAGTGGCTACAGAAGAATTACTTCAGAGAATCCCAGACTCCCAGCCTGGTGGGGTTTGGAAGGGCCCTCTGGAGCTCCCCCATCCCACCCCCCGCCAGAGCAGGGGCACCTCCAGCAGTGGCACAGGACGGCGTCCAGGCGGGTTTGGGATGGCTCCAGAGGGGGAGACTCCCCCACCTCTCTGGGCAGCCTGTGCCACTGCTCTGCCGCCCTCACAGCAGAGAAGGCCCTCCTCAGGTCCAGATGGAACTCCCGATGCTCCAGTTTGTGCCCGTTACCGCTCAAGAAAATTTACCAAAAGTTATAAAATTTATGCATAAAGTTGCATAAAATGTTTCTTGTGTTCTTTATGCCTCAATTTCTTGAGGAGGGAATACAAAGAGGGGGAAACCCCCTATTTTTCAACGACTCCATCATTGACGTCATTGACATCATTGACAAAATTTGTTGCTAGTTTCCTGCATTCAGTGGACTATCAGTATTTATCTCCTTATGTCTACTTGCAAACGCTATTAAAGCAAGGCACAGTTTGTAGGTGTTTTTTTTTTTTTTAAAGTGATGGTCTCTGTTGATTTGAGGTGATCTGTAACATTTGTGATCCTTTGCTTTTTAGGAGCCACTGGTTTGTGTTTATTTGGGAGCGGGAATAGCCAGTGATGCAACATACTGTGGCTTTTACAACATACTGTGGCTTTTAACGAACGAAAGCACGAAGGGGAAATTGTTCCATCTCTTCCTCCCATGCCTACCAGTTCTCAGCACCTCAGCACAGGCGTGTTGGAGACGAGAGGTGCTGCTTTACAGAGCTGTCCTCTTCGTGTTTTCCCCAGCGCAGCTGGGGAAGTGATGGAGACAGTTTTGTTTCTGGCTGTCTGGCTGTCAGGGCCAATGAAGTGCTCTGGTGTTGGGAGGGAGGGGGAAAAACAACCCACACAAGAAAACCGCAAATTTTTGTTGTTTCTGGAATCGTTGCCACCAGCTTCTGAAAATACTGTATTTGTGTTACTTTTTTTTCACAACAACGTCAGGAAGTTTAACTTGGGTTTAGTTTGACAGTATTTGGTTAGTGTTACCGCGGGAGAAGTCACGTTGCTCTTCCCATCACCTAAGCATTGCGGGGCTATGGCAGAATCACAAAAAAGGCACAGAGGCCACCAAGCTGCCTCCGCCTGGATGAGGGTGACATTACAGTAACTCAAGCAAATCCTTCACTGAATTTCCCTGGCTGCCCTGAGTGTTACATTCACTGAAATGCTGTTTTGTTATGTTTTTTTAGGGCCGGTGTACCCGAGAGAACTGCAAATATCTCCACCCTCCCCCACACTTAAAAACACAGCTTGAAATAAATGGACGCAACAACCTGATCCAGCAGAAGACGGCCGCAGCCATGTTCGCTCAGCAGATGCAGTTCATGCTCCCAGGCGCCCAGCTACAGCCCATCGTAAGTCACAGCAGAGAACCGGGCTCACACCGCTCCCCGTTTCTTTCCCGTTCGCTTGCGGAGACCCCAGCCCTCTGCCTTCGCTCAGGCAGTTGGTTGTGCTGTGTCTTCCAGAGCAATGTCTTGATTTTACCTTCTTGCAAGCTGTGGCTCCCCTTTCTTCTCGTAACTGAGGAGCTGCAAAATTGAGGGCATCAAGTGGAAGGGTCTTACCACCAGGTGGATATTTGACCGGTTAATTCATGTGCGTCCTAGAAGTCCTGAGTGGTGCAATTCCAACAGATCCTGTTTTGGATACCTGTTTTACACTGGGATGAGGACGCTGGAGTTCAACATGAGCCGGCAATGCGCAATCGCAGCCCAGAAAGCCAACCGTATCCGGGGCTGCAACAGAAGTGTGGGCAGCAGGGCGAGGGGGGATTGTGCCTCTCTATTCTGCTCTGGGGAGACCCCCCTGCAGTGCTGCCTCCAGCTCTGGAGCCCCCAACGTAGGACAGACATGGACCTGTTGGAGCGGGGCCAGAGGAGGTCCCAAAGGTGATCAGAGGGCCGGAGTACCTCTCCTATGAGGAGAGGCTGAGAGAGGTGG